GCCAATCTTAGTCCATTAAACCATTGCACTTCATGGAAACCTTTTTGGAAAAGATTGTAACTTCAGATTGGTTCTGCTTTCCTTACATATCAATATTCCAATCAAGCAAGCTGATGAGCTAGTGCAAAGACAATTTTGCTGTCGCCTAAATCAATATTATAATCATTAAACTGGATCTTATGAGGTTCACCTACTCAGGTCCCGGGGATCCGATAGCTGGTTCTGATGGCCGAATAACAAGTCTCGGGGACATTGAAGTGCAACTTTTCCACAGTATATCACGCAATGTTTTGTGATAACAACCTCTTAGAAACCAGTCACACTAAGTAGCGACGTTAAAAGTAAGTGTAATACAGGTAGAAACACAGATATTTTCAGCAACCCCGATCAAATTAATCCATGTGNTTCCCTCCTTGGGGATGTACAGTAGAATGAATACACCCCAATCGGTCAGCGATGTTTCACCTTGACACACAGGGCCTAAAAGGATGTGTACACTGTCAATTAGTGAGGACAGTTCAGTGATAACAGTGGTGATTCTGATTGCACTAGGCGGATCGCGGATCGGATTGGCTTCATACAGATTTGAAGAAGCTAAGACTGATGGGCCTACTAGGCGTTCTGAAAATTTGTTCTCTAGTCAAACGAAGTGCTCCACTATTCGTTCTACTTCCTTACNTCTGATAAAAGATGACTGAATAACTCGCGTAAAAGTGACTCCTGTTTACAGCTTCTGTTCGAAGTGTTGTGAGAGAGGTGGAATAGCTTGATGAGCCTATTGGTACCTGACGCCATTTCCACGTCCTGGTTACTTCTGCTCAGTACCTCTAGTTGTCAACCGTAGCAGAGCGCAAGCTCCTCCAATGCAGTTTGTGATGTTTACTGTTGCCTGATAGCCGAGTTTCATTCGCTGTGGCTGATGGACGGAATGTGTCCTCTGAGATCCAGTCCTCCGGTTTTTCTTATTCGGTCAAATTAACTATATGCAGCTCCCTTGACCGTCAACCTGATCGGTGTCTACTAATCTTTAACAGACGCTTTATTCGTTAGTACGCTGTTGGCGATATCGAAACGGGTGAAGATTGCGTGCGATAACGCTTTGTGTTCCTCAGAGAGGCGATGTTTTTCCGGGTTGGTGCAGATAACTCGGGGAAAGGGGGGCGCAAACAGATGGACCTCAAAGCGTGCGAGTACGAGGTCCGCGCCATCATTGCTCTGTGATATGCTCGTTTAAACAACAGAGAAAATTCAACGGGACCACCCCAGGATGTTGGCAATTCGATGCGCGGTGCGACTATTGTTGGAGTATCAAGTTACCCGATGCTTCTTGGGTTGTTGAAAAAGGGTGAAGCAGACAATCATTCTGTTAACATCTACCAGACTGACCCTATTATCGCACTGCTGTCCAAAAACTGATTACCGAGGGGGGTTACGGTAGCTTTATCCGACCATTCAATCGAAAGTTTACGGTAAGAAATCTCGCTTGGGCAGCCATTAAGTACAAAAACTCTGTGTATTATCGAGAGATAAGCAACATATTCTAGCATGGTTCTTAGATTAGATTAGCAGTTGAACAACAGCAATATAATATTGCACAAAGAAAAGATTATGTGAATAACAACCGTCGTGTCAACCGTGCAAGCTCAAGTCTACATGGCTGACAGTTCCAAATGAGCGGCTCTGATTTCGCTGAGGAATAGGAGCCACACAAAAGAATAAAATGGATATCGAGTAGTGTTCCATTGCAACGTTACTCACATTGGAAACTGGAACAAGTTGAGCTTTACCGTTCTTCTCCAAAAGTCGTCTCCATCGGATACGAGATGGGGGTGGGTACGAATCGACTTCGCAAGTCACGGTTAACGGTTTTCCTTCCTGTCCCCGAACGGCACCAAGACGTGGTCTCAAAATGGGTGATGCTAAAAGCAATGGAGAAGATGTGCCCAGTTTGATGGAATAGAAACTGACAGGTTTGAGAAACAAAGTATATACTTTTGTTAGTAGCATGAACAGAGGACGTGGTATACTCTAAATGTCTGCGTGTCACGCTCTTCACGGTAAAACGAGACAGACACAGCTGTTGTGCATGAGAAAAATACACTTTGACTACAAAACTTTTCCCTGCGTTTGAGGAAGGAAACGAGACCAGTCAACAGAAACGAATAAATACCTTTGGCCATTACGTGTTGCACTTATACAGAAGCGGCGATTTTTTTAAACACAATTATCTCACTTGCACTGCTGGATAGGTTTCTTTGAACCAATCCATTTGTCAATCAATACCATTACTGACCATAAAAATGTGACTTAAGAATACTGTGATTTGTTTGTGGACTCAAACGTGTGTGAAAAGAAATAAATATACCTGATAGTTCGCAGTTCGCACTTGGTAGTGCAAAATAAAAAACGTCGAGTGACGCCGGGGACGTCTCTCGAACCAAACTCCCAAGGAACTCAATAATCTTGATCATGATCATGTCTGGCGCTGGCTTATCCTTTCCAAGGAACCGGCCGCAGTAAAGTAAAAGTAAGTATCTGAATAACTGGAGTCAATTTCCCTGGAAGCAGATTCTCGATTTCATTTTTTACATTATACTACCTTGTGGTGTTAAATAATGGAATATGTACAATCGTTAATATTAGCAGCATATGAACACATTAATCAATGTATTGATCCATAAGTAGGAGCGATTCCTGATGATCTAGTGAACCCGATATGTTATCATAAGCATGAAATCGATTTACTAATCACATTTATTCATCATTCACCTTGTTTGGTACACGACAGTCACCTTTAAACTTTGATTTGTGTCCCCCAAACTCTTATCCGGCTATAGCCTAATGAATCTTGTGCTCAGAAAGCACAAAGGCATGAACCACTTAGTCGTGCAAACCTACTAGTCAATTATACAAACCGGCAATGCCAGTCCTAGGGATTTATTTGGGCAATCACATAAGGCTTCATATAGATAGGCGAGCTGTCCAATAGTGCGAAGGCAAAGCTTAATCCCCCAAAGTGGAACAGTATATTCTTGCATCAAACCACCGGCAGACGCGTTAACTCCAGTCACGAGGATCCACTGTTCACTCATGATGACCGGCTATTTTGGCTCTGGGGCTTAGAGTAGCGCATAAAAAAATTGACCATAGGTTAAGCCGACAATAAATCTGCCTTAGACTGCGATTTGAATCATGGCGTAGACAGTATCAATGAATGAATAAAACATGTTGAAATGTTCGCCAGCAATAAATCAAAAATTTCGCTGATATGCTGTTTATCTGGACACAAAAAAATAAGGTAAGATGAAACAGAACTGGCAGCCATACACAAACGGGAAGTGACACCACATAGCACTTACACGAGACAAAGCAAACAGCGCGGTGCTCCTGTGCATCAGCCGTTGTGACAATCAGGGTCCAGTTGCCAGTAACACGGGCGGCTATAATTGACAGAGAGGAATGTGTCAGGGAAAACCCCAGCTAGGTACACTTACTTGGAAGTCGGAAGTGAAGACCAACCATGATAGAGTCTTCCAATGTTTCTACTGTGTAATATGCTTCTTGACTTGATTTGTCATCGATTTTGATGGGTTCATTGTTGTGTAACCATGACACTGACTCGGTCTGAGGGTAAAAAGACAAGCGATGCAAATAAGACACGCACTCAACACAGTTGACAGAACGCGAACATTGCATGAGGAAGCAGTGAAAAAAGGATCAACAGAAACGAACGCACAAACATGAACATACTGCGGCTGTGTGCAACTTACCACGAAAGCACAAGTGTGGACTGGATAAGGTGTTCATATAGTATCATAGAAGAAGTTCTGCATGTAAACACATAATAGGAGTATCAACAGAGAGTTATCAAAAACTGAACAAGGTTTTGCTAGCATTACCAAATCTATTCTTCTGCATTGAACGCTAATTTTCGAAGTCGATTCCGAGGAAGTCGAGACAATAAATACATTCGCGAATGCAGCAGTTGAGTGTTAACAGCTTTTACGCTGCAGTTTTTGTCCCCGTATGTTCGTGGCGCGTGATGAACCCAACGAACCACGAAGGGGTAAAACCCAATATAGCAAGATACTGAGGCCAGATAGTCACTGGAAATGGTTCCACTACTACAAGTTCCATATGATTGGAATAGCAAATTTAATTTGTGAAACGAATTATTTTTCCGATAGTAAAATTACAAATAACTATCGTTCACCATACTAATTCAGTTCAACTCAGTTCAGTTTGTACAACCAGTAATCACGCATATTCGTCCGCCGGTTTTGGTTGCTGTCTTTTGGCTTTTATCGAACCAAAAGAACTGATGATCTCCTTCGATGCGACCTCACCGTTCACCAATATACCAAAGCAAATGGCCATCGAAAATAATCGACGCTTGTTGCAATTAAGAACGACACTATTCGTGGACGAACTACTGAAACCCATAGAATTCGACGGAGTTTATCAGCTAATACGATTCGTCACTCTCAGGCCTGCTTGCGGATGCATTCGTCATACTCAGAGCTTCCACGGTAGATCAGTTCACCAAATGACCAAAGAGCAGGTGCCTGGTATCTGCTTCAAACGAGATGAAAAGAATGACGGACAACTCTCCTTCCCATGAGGCAACCTGGCGGAAGAATAGAAACCATAGTCTACCGAAAACCGACCAGGACAGATCGCATCCTCAATTACAACAGTAATCATCCTTTGTGCCACCTGAAAAGTTGTGTGAACCCTATTCCGCCGAGCGAACACACACTGCAACACATATGAGCTAAGGACAAAGAAAGAAGTCGACTCTTTCAACTGTTCTTAATGACGGGATATATATATATATATCCAGGATAATAAACTTCTGATGATTGGATAATGAAAAACCTTACCCGGAGTTCATTTGCTTGGACTTGATAAGTGATTTGCACAGGAACCGTTCTGTTCACGACTGTTTTGTCGAAAACCAAACCTGCGTGTTCAATACTTTCATTGTGCACCACTAAGTCTGCATTTTGCGTGCATGAAGCTAAAACAAACATTAGAGGAAACGAGCCATTATGCATCATTAACACATGAACCAAAGAAGCGATATTCGACTAGAAATTTAACGAAGAAAATGACCAACAAAGTACAGGTCAACCAGAATGCAAACGATGTTGTGCAGTGCAGACACTGATGATGATTCACACCTGTGATCATCAACAGTGCCCTCGATGTATGTGAAAAACAAACGTTCATCACTTCAGTTTTACAAGTACTTCAGTAGCCCCGGAGGTTTGGTGTTACGAATCATCATTATCCTCATCACCATCACCAACAAACAGCAAGATACAGTGAAGCGAACTCCGCCAATCAGTACCAAGTGCACGATGAAACTACGCTTCGGCGTGGTATGATGGCCTGTGCATTTTTCTGACCAAACAAGCTGCACAGGATCTCGCTTTTGTCAAGCCGAAGATCTAATCATACCTGAAATATCTAGAGCTAGAAGATCCTTACTGCAACTCCTCAGACCACTTTGGACTCCAGACGAAATAAGCTTAAACATTAAACTTCCGGTTTATCAGGCTTCCATTCGCATCATCCTCATTTATGGTTGCGAAACCCTCGTGACGACCGTAGCCCCTGCACCGTGCCGTGGATGGTGCTGTCGACTCCGTGGTCAACCGAAGACCTGGAGCAATACGATCAAGGCGGACTTGGAACTACTGGGCCTCCAATCCGTATACGAAATTCGTAACTGGAACTAGAACTGGGTCTCACTGCGTCAACCTTGCTGCCGATCATCATGCATGAGCTGCCATCATTAGATAAATCCAAGAAGCTAACTTATTCTCCGCAGGAGTTAGTCGCTCAAAAGTAAAATAAGGCAAGATGGTAGAGGCCAGACAACAGTCAGTCTTCTGGTCCTTCAGGTTGGGGGTTCGACTCGAACTGGCTCTTTAGTAGGTAAAAAAGGTTTGAACACCGCTGTCTACGCAGCATTGCACGAATCTGGTGGGGTAGCCGGATGAGCAATGCTGAGGTTAGGGACAGAGATTTGGGTAAATACGGTCGCCCACTGGAGCAAGTGATCGACCTCCATAGATTACGTTGGCTGGGACATGTGCTACGCATGTCACCAGGTAGGTTACCACGGCGAGCGATGTTCGCCGAAGAAGATACAGAGTGGAAGAAAGCCAAGGGTGGTCAAGTTAAGACCTGGCACGAGGGTGTGAAAACCCTAACCAGGAAACTGGGTCACATAGGTCCTGTTAGGCTCCCTGGCTGGGGACCTCGGGATGATCGTAACCGATGGCTAGAGACACTGAGCGATATGGCTGGGTGTCGTAAACAGTGGCGTTCGTGCATCTCTTCAATTTCTTCCCAACCTTAGTCAACTGAACTTCTCCATTTTCTTGTCGAATCCACTTTCAACTTTCCTCTCTTCTCCTATTCTTCATCCCAATGGGCAGCCAAAAGACAGCAACCAAAACCGGTGCACGAAAGTGCATGGTTAATGGTTGTTCAAACTGAAACTGAAAAACTGAAAAAATGGTGAAGTAATCGATCCAAGTAAATGGACCTCTACTCCGCCTTATCCGCTACCTTGTGGTTAGGTTCTTGTCAGAAGTGAAGGCTTTGGTTGAGAATCCTATTCGTTCTTCTGTTTAGTGGCTGGGCACCCTAGCAGTGGCCTTCCATCAAACCTCAATGCATACAAAAACAAAAAAAATAATTCCATACTGCATCGGTCGTCTTGCAGAATGATCAGGACCGCGTTATAGTCGATGGATTTCTTCTACTCGCAAATTCACTGGCTCACAACCATAGAGCAGAACTGAACGAACGCCAGAACAATATACACGACCTTTCAACTTCAGTGAAAAATCGCGTCTACGCCAAATGTTTTTCAGTCCTGCATAAGCTGCACGAGCTTTGGAAATGCGGGTGGTTATATCCTTTGCTGCGCTACCGTCACTAGTCACGCAGCCATCTAAGTAGGAAAAGTAATCCACCGTAACTAATTCCTGGCCATTTAGTGTCAGAGCGAGAGTAAGCGAAACCCAGTCCTGCAGCGTTACTTCGCACTTTGAAGGTGCGAAGCACACTTTCCTCTCTTCTCCTATTCTTCATCCCAATGGGCAGCCAAAAGACAGCAACCGAAACCGGTGCACGAAAGTGCATGGTTAATAGTTGCAAGAACTGAAATGAACTGAAGGCATCAGGCTTCGAAGTATGACCGAGGCTGGCACTTTGGTGACGATCGGGATCAAACTTATCCCGCGGTGGTTTTCGCAATCATTGCGAGATCCTTTCTTAAAAATGGGAACGATCAGTGATGCGCCCCAAGAAGAAGGAATGCGCTCATGCGTTGAAATGCTGCGCAGTAATACAGCTAGCTTATGAGGTTGTCACCTCTCATCTTGAAAAGAGTGGGAGGGAGCTCATCCGGTCCTGCAGCCTTTCTTCGCTTTAGAGCCCGAATGCAAGACCGAA